ACAGCTGCTGTGCTAGGTCCAGTGCTGGGCTCCCTGGTACAAGACATGGACATATTGGAGAGAGTCCAGCAAAGGGCTGTCCATCTTCTACTGTGAGGGTGATCAAAGCCTGGCACAGGCTGCTCAGAAAGGTAGTAGAGTCTCCATCCATGGAGATATTCAGAACCTGACTGGCCACAGTCCTGCGCAACCTGCTCTAGCTGCCCCTGCAGCAGGGGACTGGGCTGCATGATCTCTGGGTCCCTGCCAGCCTCAGCCACATTGTGTCCCTGAGTCCTTGGCATTGTGGCTCTGAGGTGCTGGGATTGCCGCCGTTTTCAGGAGCCAGTGTGGCTCTCTGTGCTGAGGCACTAATGAGGGAGCAAAGCTGGTGCCCAGGAGCAGCCCAAAGGCCCCCTATGGTTTGGCTGCTGATCATCACCTGCTCCCTCCCTGTCGGCCTGGTATCATTAGCTGCTCATGCTGCTGCGCATCTGCAGCGAGCGTCTGTCGTGCCAGCTCCCTGCTGTCAGGAAGATGATGGCTGTTGTCCCTGGGCTGGGACTAGCAGCTAATTAGGGCTGGAGTGTTGCACTTGGGCTGACAAAGGGATTCTGGGGCTTTTCCCGGGGCCTAGGGGGCGCCGGTTTCAGCAAGCTGACAGCCCCCACCACCCTAGTGCTCTTAAACTGGAGTAACCTAGCAGCATCATGCTCCTCCCACCGCGGGGAATGGAGAAGGGTCTTGGTATTGTGATGGGCTGAGACCAGCCCACTCGGCTCATGCATGAGGCTCCTAAGCAAGCTCCAGAGCAGGGAGTACCCCTGGGGACTCCAGATCTCATGCCCTGGACTAGTCTGTGAGCATTGCTGCTGCTGGACACCCTCCCCAGACAGTTCAGTCCTGCGTGAAAATCCACAGTGCCAGAGCAGGCAGGCAGGTCTGGCATTGCTGACCATCAGTCTCAGGGACCATATGTGCTGCCAATGAGCCGGGAGGTGGTTGCATTTTCCTCCCTTAATTGCTTGCTGCTTGGCCAGAGAGTGAGCCAAGTGCATGCAGGATGGCTCCCGGGGGAAGACTGTGTTCTTCACATCCTGTCCTTGCTTGGCAGGCTTTGCCGCAATAGGCTGAGACAGCTGAACACCCTCTTCGTCCCTCGCTGGTGCTGGCTGAGGGGGTGGTGGGCTGGGAGCACCCTGCCCATGCAGCGAATGGCAGATGTTCCCCTGCTGGCCCAGTCTTCCGGCTCCAGGGCAGCTCTGCAGCCTCCCTGGGTGCCCAGCCTGCCTCAGCTCACACACCCTGGGAGCAAGAGAAGGAAGGCTGAGCACTGCCTCAGTTTCCCCCATTGTCACTCATCTGCAGCCAGACCCCTGCAGGGCTCGGGCAGGCTGCTAGCATGGCCCTCCTTCCTGTGTCTGCACTGTGCCTGGCAGAGCTGCGCTTCTTCAGCAGATGTCCATCTCTTTCTGGCCTGCCAGCAGCTCTCCCTCTCCCCACTGTGGTTTTCAGCCAGGGTGTGAGATGATCCTGGTTAAAATTAGCTAGTTTGCCAGCATGGCCTTGCCAAGGCAGGTGAGTTCAGGGCTGGGTGAGCCAGAACTCCGGGTTCTCTGCCCATCAGGGTCCTGAAACATTTTTCCAAACAATTTACAAGGATGCTGGAGAAGCAGAAGGTGCTTAAAAGCACGCAGCAACCTGCCAAGAGCTCAGATGGTAGCCAGGGAGTAACTCTATGTGCAGTGAATGCATCTGCTCACCAGTAGCCCAATGCAGCTGAGCCTGCCACAGCCTTTCTGTGAGACAAGACTGAGCCCTGTGCTGCCTGCTGCTTCACAGCTCCTAGTGCTTCAAGTGCTGCCTCCATTGCTGGGACAGTCAGGCTTGCCAATATCCTGCATCACAAGCAGTAGGACATCGAGGTGCCAAGGACATCTGGGAGCTGGGATTACATGACCCTGTGTATGTTCCTGCCAGCATGAGAAATCCCAGCCCCTCTGCTTTGAGCTGCTCAGGCCCTGGGGAGCTCCAGTTCTGGAGAACCTGAGCACAAATTCCTTTGCTCCAGTACAGAGAGGAATTGCTCTTGAAAAGAGACAAAGTTCTGTGTACAAGCCCCTCTACAAAGCAGCCATTGCTTCTCTCCTCATTAAACAGCTCAGTGACCTGAATTAGGAGGGGAGAGATGATGCCCACCAGTCCTGTGCCCTTGACAGCAAGAGCTACCCCAGCTTCTCTGCTTGCTTCTGGGCCCAGAAGAGGCTGCAGCACCAAACACATCTCCAGGCAAGATGCAGACATTGGCACTGATGCCTTGCAAGCCGCACTCTGCCCCCTTGCACAACAGGCATATCCACAACCAACCTCTTGTTGGAGTTAGCAGAGCATAACTGGGGCATACCAGCCCCAGAAAGCCCACCCCCTATGTGTTCAGGTATGGATTTATCTCCTGGGTGCCAGGCTTTTCCTGTGCAGCAGTGTGGCTCCAGGGTGTCCCAGAGCACAATACCCTTCTTGGTGCAGGCACCCACAGACAAGTACTCCTGAGCTTGCTGGTGGTGTTGGCCCTCTAGCTCTGACCCTTGCTAGGGAGTGATGGGCTTCCTCTGGAGATCAAGGGTGAGCAGAGAGGAGACCACATCCCCCCAGAGAAAACCTTTCCCAAGAATGAAACAGCAGGCAGCTTTTGGTAAAGGGGACTTTAATCTGCTCAGTATCTAGTCTGTAGTGCAAAGAATTAAACTTAAGGCAAAGCTTTCTTTTTTCTTTTTTTTTTTTAATAAACAGGCAGCAAACAAACAGGCCCTAAAACAATAAGCATGACTGCTATAATAGAAAAAGGGTTTGAGGGGAGAAACTGCAGTCCTGGGGAGGTGTCTTTTTCCCTTGTAATTCATGTAGGAAACATTGTACCTCAAAATCCATGAGCTGGTCCCAATCAAACACCACTGCCTGCAGCCAGCAGCTGTCACACTCCCACTCCTGGGTGTCTCCAGAGGCACACCCAGGGAAAGGTGCAGCTCCCCGTCTCCTCTTGCAGGAGGACCTCTGCAGGTGCCTGGGACAAGCTGGACCCTGGGGAACACAGCCTGGGGGGCTGCACTCACTGTTCTGGCAAGGGCTTGGCTACTCAACTGGCTGCAGCCACAGGAGAGGTGGCTGGGGAGAGCAAACATTAACATGGGTGGTGTGTGCCTGGGGAGGCACCGGGACGAGAGGCTGAGCTTTGCATCTCTGCAAAATGAGGTGGAAGCAGCTGACTGCCATGGCGCCAGGCCCTTCTAACACCCAGTAGTACTCAGGAGCCCAGCTTAGCCCAGGGGGTCCCTCCAGCCCGCAGCAAAAGCGGGGGCAACCAGTCCCCGCAATACCTCCCAGAACGAAGCCATTCTCCAAGAAGATAGTATCTTGCCACAGCTCAGGTTTACAGCACAGAGGCATCTCCCAGCATGGCCTGGCCTCTCTTCTGCCTCTGTTTTGGCTTAAGTCACTAATCAAGAAGGAGAATAGGAAGGAAGACCATGCCAGCCACCCTCAGGCTCTTGGCTTGCAGTCCAGGAGTCAAGACTCTTTCCAGCTTGACTGCAGCCAAAATTGGCTGTGGTGTGTGGCTGACCTCAGGCAAGCAGCTGGAGAAGGAAGAAGTTTTTAGCACAAGGCCCTCTTACAGCCCAGCAATTTCTTGGAATGGTGGTGGTTGATCAAGCTTAGATAAGCCACCTCAGGCCTCCCCAGCTAGGATCGGATGCCCTTGTTAGACTTCAGGGGACGCTTTAAAATAAAACTAGCTACATTTCTGACAGACTGTAAGACAGCATAACCCTGCCCTAATCAAAGATGCCATGGTCCTGGTACTGCTCCATGCACACAACTGCAGATCAGCAGCATAGATATACAGATACATGTGCCTGGAGCTGGAATGTCTCAATGGGCTCCCAGAGGCTTTGGGGTGTCACTTCTACCCCTAGAGAGTTACTCCATCTAGCCAGCCCAGCCTGGGAAGCAGCAAGCAAGCACTGGTGTGAACCACCGAGTTCCATGGCACTCTGAGCCTGAAGAAAATGTGTATTACCTAGAGAAGATTCTCCAGCATTGGCTCAGATGTGTGCTGCTGCTACCAGGGTTGGGAGCACTGGCTGGCCAGCCACCCTTTGGGTTCCCCAAGCAGCACCACCACTCCCACAGAAAAAAATAACTCCCTCCAGCCTCCCCATGTGAGTAACCTGATGTGAGCTTGCTAATTTTGCATAGGTGATGCATGGAAGCAGCAGCAACACTGAGCTCTGCAGTCAGCTGGCCTGCAGGAAGCCCACGTTCATCACGACTCCTCATTGTCCTGGTAAGGGGACTAGAAAGCTCAAAAACCAAAGCCATAGTGGCTGAGATACTGAAGTACCCCAGAAACCCCGCTGTTCTCCAGCTGAAGGCCATGCTCAGCCCTTTGGCAGCAAAGCTTAAAAAGCTCAAGTGTGCTCATTGCTTCCCTAGGGCCTTGCAAAAGGGGCACACTTCTCCTTTCGCAGGGAGCTGCCCTGCTGAGACAGCGAGAGGAGGAAACAGAGGTGTGAATGCAGTCTGCCAGGTCATCTTCTGGTCAGACCTTGGGAAGAACCCTCCCTTGCCTCGCACCAGCCCCTGAGATTCCCAGGAAGGTGCAGCCTTTAACCTTTCCATCAGCTTTGCTTAGGAGGGACCAAAGCATCTTTCTGCACGCTGCTTTGGATCTCAGACTGCTGCTGGCTTTAGGCAACAGGCCCTGAAACAGCAAAAGTTGTCAATAAAAAAAGGTAACTCTTTCAGCCTGCTGCAGAGATCAGTTATTGTGCTTGCTAGCAAGAGCTACAATCTAGTTAGGTAGCAAACGTGGCTAGCAGACACCCCTGAAAGCCATTTGCCCTTTCAGCACCATCCTTAGTTCTTCAGAAGCTGCTCGAGGAAGTTCTGATTCCTGGCAAGAGGCAGATAAAGGGTGCCCTTCACCTCCCAGGAAGATGACCCAAGCCACCCACCCCTTGGGTTCACAAGTACACGTTGAGCGTCTGGAGGATCATCTGGCGGCACAGCGGGCAGTTGCGCTGGTAGATGGCCTGCTGCAGGAGGACTTCCGTGCACTCCTGACACAGGCACAAGTGCCTGCACGGCAGAAGCAGGACTGTCTTCGTTTGGTCTTGACAGATGACGCATTTCTTACGTTCCTCTTGTTCTTTCAGGAGCACCCAAGGGTCATTATCTGGAGTGCCCTCACCATCCCCAGCTGCTGCGTTCAGCTGCTGCCGCCTCAGACCTTTCCCCCAGGATGCGCTCGGCTCCTCCCTGGCTGGCTGGAAACGCTGTCCTGCCACGGCACTTCGACTCAGAGCAGGACGTGCTTGTGGTACCTGGTCTGCATCTGGCGGCTCCTCGCGCTCCGCTGGCAGCTGGACCCCTGCCAGTGTCAGCCGACCCGGGGCTACTGGTCTTGGGGCAGGCACAGCTGCCCCTCGCTGGTTGCTTTCCCGGTTCATTGTTCTGCCTCCTCGGCTCCAGTTGGTCACCTGCAGACTCCAGTCCACCAACCTGCGCCAGGCCTGGGAGGTCATGGCCATGCCCAGCGTCAGGACTGCCACCTGATAGAGCCGCCACACGTCCCGCTGCAGGCGGTGGTAGGAAGGCAGCGTGTTGACATAGCCCAGCACATAGCCTGTCAGCGTCCACAGCAGCCCGGGGTTGAAGACAAAGGTGCTCACGACGATCACAAGGAGGAGCAAGCCCAGGCCGTAAATATTCACAAAGAAGATGCTGATGAAGAGCTCAGCAACAGAG